TGTTAACTGTATTTGACAGTGAGTGATATTACTGCTAAGGTTTTTGTTGTTGTTGTTGTTGTTACCGCTGCCTTTCCTGTTGTGATTATTCTTTCCTTGTTGTTCTGATTGCTTTATTTCTTGTTTTCCTGATTCCAAAGGTAGCAACCCCCAAAAAGTCGCTCCTCTGTAACTAACGTATTTATGTAACAACCCCCTTCCCCCCAGGCGTTAGGCTAGCAACCCCCACCCTGTAAAAACAAAGCTGCTACAGAAACTTCAGTACAAATGAGTCTGCTTGCGACAAAAAAAAACACAGGAAGAGAACTCATCATGCGTAGAGAAGCACCTTGGAGAGATGAATGAAAACAGAGAACTCTTCGCTGATTTCCGTGCCTTCAACGAACTAGTGATTGGTGACAGCCTATACAAGCACAAGAGCATCCACAAGGCTACATAGGTGTCACCAGACGGGCGAAACCGAAAACCGAATTGACTTCATCTCAATCCCAAGGACACAAAAGTTAGAAGAGGAGTAAACGTTGGCTCAGACCACTGTCTCGTTCTAGGAACACTCCAAATCAAATCAAAAACTTTCAAAGAAACAGGAACTGCAGATAGGCCACAATCCAAGTTCAATACTCAAAAACTGAAGGATCAGTCCACAAAGGATATCTTCACTGCAATCATAAGAAAAAAGGCGGAGACGCGAATCAACACTAACGAAGAGACCAGTGTTGAAAAACACTAGAACAGCATGAAAGCGGTGTGGAGTCAAACCTGCATGGAAGTTCTAGGCACAGAGAAGAAACAAAACAGACAGTGGCTCACTATGGACACGTGGAGACTTATAGAAGAGAGAAGGATGTTGAAACAAAAGATTATCCATTGCATCGATAAGGAATAGAAACAGGAGTTGAATGCAAGTTGCAATACACTGAACAAAAGAGTAAAGACGGTTGCCAGGGAAGACAAAAGAAAATATTATGAAGCCATGGCAAGTGAAGCAGAACAAGCTGCAGGCAAAGGAGACCTCGCAACACTCTACCAAACAACTAGGTACCTATCGGGCAAACGTTTAACACAAATCAAGCCGGTGAAAGATGACAATGGAAAGTCACTCACCAAAGAAGTGGAGCAAAGGAAACACTGGGCTGAACACTTCAAAAGACTCCTAAATCGACCACCACCGACAACGCGCCCAACAATACCAACAACGGAGACAGAGCTACTAGTGAACACCAACCCCCCGACGAAATCAGAAGTCCTGAAGGCAATAAAGATGCTAAAGACTAGAAAAGCAGCAGGACCAGATGGAATCCCAGAAGAAACATTGAAAATGGATCCAGAGACAACAGCGGATTTGATGACGTCACTACTGGAGAAGGTGTGGACAGAGAGCAAGGTACCTGAGGATTGAAAGAAAGGCTACTTATTCAAACTGCCGAAGTAAGGGGACTTAGGTCAATGCAAGAGCTGGCGTGGCATTATGCTTCTGTCCATCCCAAGCAAAATACTAAGCCGCATCATCCTGGAGAGAATCAAACATGCCCAGTTGTATTACATATATGTCTTATAAATACACTTTTTTTAAATAATTATCGCTTTTCACCCAAAAGAATATAATTGGCAGGTTCAAGGTCATTTGACTTTGGTGTCTATTCTGTACTGTTGCCTGGATTGTATCTTCTTGTGGTCAATAGTTGATTAAAACAATATGAAACACAGTTAACACGATGCACTTTGATGGATAAAAAAAATTAAGGTAGCCCAGTGATTTAAGCAGGCCGCCATTAGATAGATAAACTGAAACAATGGAGAAGATTTCTAACTCAGGTGAATGTGATATTTGATTAATTGTGTCCTCTGAGCTGGTTGAGAACAAAACTAATTCAAGATAGATAAATTAACAGAATAATCAGTGGATGCAGAATACTAATGCAAATCTGGTTTGCTTTGGTGTATGTTAGAAATCTAGGGTTTCCATTTTCTGCACATGTTGCCCTAGTCTAACTGTGAACTAAATACGACGTTTTGGTAGGGATTCTTGCAGCGAAATATTGGAAAATAAAGGTGAAAACTTCGGAGAAGTTTAGACTGATGAGAGGTGAACCACTTTCCTATCCTCTTGAAAACCGTCTTACGTTCATGAAAGACAAAATTCGAATAAGAGCACAGTCATTAATTAATGAAGGCAATACACTATTTACATTATTAGGACGTTCCACAATCTCCAGCTGGCTGTAAATTTGGTTACGGATTAAATCGTACCCGAGAATATCCCAATATCGTCAATGGCTTTCATTGGAAATAAATTTATTTTGCTGAAATGTTGTATAACACAGGGCAACAAAAATCTCTATGACGGAATAGCTGTGTTGTTTTCATTTAACACGTGAATAATCTCGAATAAATCGATGTGTGCGTCGGTGGCACAGTGTTTAGGACTCTCGTCGACCATGCACATGGTCCGGGCTCGATCCCCTGCCGACGCACACCTGATATCACTTGGTCGGCCTGCAAAATTTGGGCTACCGATATCACATGCTGAAAATTCCATACATGTACCAAAAAATACTGTGTGGAATCAAGCTGTAATCAAAAATAAAAACAAAAAAATACTAATGTGGCGTCCTGGTTAATAAAGTTAACTATTTTGTGAGTAGTGATAAAATGAAATATCAAACGATTGGTATATTTAGAGAAAGTGACTCTAAAGAGCAGTGTATGTGTATATTAGTAGACGTTAAGTTATTTAGGGGAAGATTGTCAAGAACCAACTGGCGAGATGTGATTCGTCTAAAGACTCAGCGTATATGCATGAAACAGACATGCATGACAGACGAAACTATTCACAATTCTATTTATTCAAGCGTCGAGCATCTGGAATCAACTTCCTACTATGTAACCGCTGATATGTGGTTGACGTCTTCACATGTATGACTGAAAAGTGTAATGGTAAAAGCGGACACCTATATGTGAAATAAATGTGCAGTAAGACGTTGAATACCTGCAACATAAAGCGTGTTCTCTGTACTGTATATATATATATATATATACATATATATATATATATATATATATATATATATATAATCAGAAATATCAGCTAATAATCCTGACTAGTGTCATGAAAGTGTTTCCACAATTAGAAACGGTGAAGTTGAAATGCATCAGCCACTTCGATGGACTTTGCGTGCGTACCCACTGTACAACTAGTCAGAATCAAGAAGCATGTTGAACGATGTGAATACAGGTGACTACGAAGCAACAATGGTAAGGAGACATATTTTAAACAACACGATTTCCTGACAATTTTGAATAAATAGTTTTTCAAAATTATTAATATAAAACCTGTAAAATTATTATATACCAAAATGCGGTTATTGGTTTTCGTGAATATGTGGTTTAACTGCGCTACACTTCGTTGGTACCGTTGACCTGTGTCCTTTTTGTTTGTAGTTTTCACACTTTCCCCAAAACACTCAAAATTATTTATTATCTGGGTATTTTATCAGTCACTTACTTTCAATGGCATGACAGTGGAAAAAAGGTTATTTAAAATAATGTATATCTTGACACTTTTATGAAGAAGTCAGAGAGAACACACTCATCACTTCAGTATCACTGCTTTCAATGGTTGTCGACTACACACAAGAAAACCACATTATGATTCTGCCCCCTCCCCAACTTCTGTCTATGCATCTCCTTCAACGACAAGTAGTTCTATTCCTCTTTCTGTTCATGGGTAAGGGTGTTGAATACGGTTTTCTTTTTATCATTATCAAGCGACAGTTGGTTAAAGGTGACTTTTGAGCGAAGCAAATTTTCCATACGCTACGTAAATAGCCAAACTTAATACGTAACGGTTCATTATTATCTGTATTATTAGTGTTCCCTTGGGTTCCGAGTGGAACATAGGGCTTCAACAACACATCTCCACTTTGTCCTATTCTCTGTGGTCCACTTCAGTTGGCCCTACCATTGCCCATAGTTTCTCATCTCCTCATCGCACGATCTCCTCAATGTGTCACCCTTGGACACCCAACTCGTTCCACTAATGGGCCTGAATGATAGATACCACCTAATTGCCCATGCCTAGGTGTAGTAGATACAGTGAAATCCGAACCAATAATATTTTAATAAGTTATTATGTGGTCAACAAATTTGACTGAGTGGTACCTACCTGCTTACACACAGAACTTAACTTTTCTGGGCTCACTATCAGCTAGGTGACGTTTAAGACTGCACCGGTCGGGGGATCAAACCAATCGCGGACCACGCGAGTGGTTGTTGGTGAGCATCCTACACAAAGCAAGCAACCACTCCCACAGTGAACGTAACTATTACCGTTTTTTACTGAATCGCACATTCAAAACAACCAAGAGTATGTATAAATTATGTATTTTTAATGTAAATTTTAGAAAACAAAATGATGCCAGTGGTAGTGGTAATATTAACCTGTACATGGAAATTCTGTGAATATTGAAAATATCAAGTGTATTTAGTGATGATGATGATAATAATAATAGTAATAATAATGATAATAAAATGTAATAATATATATATATTATGATTTCAAAATACGCACGTTTCCACAAACATTAAATAATCCGCTAAATTTTTGTTTTTGTATATATACTATGATGATGATGATCATTGAATTATAAATGAAATGATAATAATGACAATATAAAATATATAAGATAAAGACTAAGTGAGTATGTTGGCGTTGAATGTATGTAGAATATAAAAGCAGAGAAGAAATATGACATTTGCTATATTATTAAGAGTTTCAAAAATACAAGAAGTGGGGGGGGGGAATAACAAAGCACAGCCATATCATGAAAACAAGAATGTATGAATGAGGCATTAGTTTCTAGAATGAAAATAATAATAATAACGATGATGACAATGATGCCGATGAATGTGTATGTGCAGAGAGGTATTCACAAGTTAATTAGCGAAACTTTAATGAAATGAAGTGTATATGTATTTGTGTATATGTGTGTCGGTAGGTATCATAAATCTCCGTATTGCAGTAAAACCTTTGGTTTCCTAGACAATTCTGATTCTAGAGATGGTTGATGCTGTTGTGTATTACTGTCGCCTAACATAGAACTGAAAAATTGTTCACGTAATAAAGCAGATTTATTATTAGAATTTGATGTTTTATTACCATTATGATGGTGATAATCAAATATTGGAATAGAATTGGAACAATTGCTAGCCATACTGTTGTTTATGTTATTCATGCTAACACTGCTAGTTGTTGACAATCCAGGCTTTTGAGTATTTTCACATCTTGTTGTATTTGATCTGATACAGGTTGAGCAGACAGGAGAGGGTGAAGAATCACAGGGGGAGAAGTGTTAGAAGTAGGAAAAACAAAAATAAAATAGTTTGTACAAAAAATACTAATTTCGAAATTTCATCACCAGTCTTATGTTGACTTGACTTCGAAAGTTCGATCACAAACTGACTTCAATTAGAGGAGAACTGAAACCAGGAGCATTGAACGACTGTTTCATCCTTGTGTGGGATTCTTCAGTAACACGATCCCATAGACCTACACTTTAGAGTCGAACCCAGGACCTGCAGGTTACAAGGTGGATTTGTTGATGATTCAGCCGCTAGGACGGAATCCAATGGGCTGTCAATTCTTCCATGCTATGTATCTCCCTGACAGTAATCAATGGGTGCGTAGGGATGAAGAGTCTCGAAATGGGACGAAACAGCTGTCCGGGACTCTGGTTTTCAGTGATTCTCTAAATAAAGCTCAGTTTGTGATAAAAACTTGGAATTAGTCAAATTCATAGAAACCAACACTTGAAAACTTCTAGGGTGACAAGTAATACACTCTCCACTATAGATTATTCACACCTCAGAGAATTTCGAGACCATCGGTGCTTCTGATTATCCAGTCTGTGGTATTTCTCAAAGTTGTAGCATAGTAAACATTGATGCATAAACACATTTCAATACAAATCGAGTATTTCACAGTCCACCATAATCAGTCAGTGGGAAATGCCGAACAACCCAAGAAAGAGCATAATAACTGATACTCATTCGTTCGTTGCAGAAGAGGTGGCTCTCATGGCCTTAATGGCTTACCTGATAACCCTGTAGCGTTTAAAATGGTGGGGTGATGATGGGTTTGAGTCTCAATGGGAACAATATCACTCTCACTCGGAATGCAAGTACATGTCAGATGACGAGTCCCCAAGAATGACGAAATCCACATCCTTGATACCAACCACTACGACTTGCCATCAATCAAATTATCATTGAATAAACCTTTCAGTTATCAATATGTTTGTTAGATGTTTGGTCTTAAGTCGATTCCTACACTGTCAGTGAAAATCATCGCATCGCATATAAGTGAAATGACCTGTACCTGTCATCTTCGTTTTTTGTTGCATAGCATGAAAACAGAATACCGCCTGTTTTAAGTAGTGTGCACAGTTTTCTGGGTGAATGTATCCACATAATAATCAATAATCTTATCAAAACTGCAATCCCTCCCATACACTAAGACGAAGTAAGACGAATAAATAGGATGAAATCTGGAAAGTTTACGATTGTGTTTAAATTGAACCCTGTATCACTATACAAAAAACTATCTCACTAAGAAGAACTATAAGAATGGAAACTGAAAATGAAAAAGCAAGTAAGATACAGCTAGCTTGTTCCATTTGTGCTATCTCCATTTATATGTTGCTAAAAATAGCCGCAATATAATGAATTAGTTAGTGACTGGAAGTTAAAAGTAAAAACCTCAGTCTCAAAGTATGCTAGTGACCATCTCCTCCTCGTGACTACTGTTCCGACCCCTTCCGCTATGTAAGTTTTGTAACTCAATTACCAGAAGACCGTAAGTAGGCGGATTGATATCCTAACTAACTAAACTAAAAAAGCCTTTGTAGTCAAGTGCCTAAGTCAGTAAATCACAGCTGTTCATCAGTATTTTAAGATGAGACGTAATATTTTCCTCGTATTCTATTAAGTGAACATAGAAACGAATGGTCTTTGCATTCTATCAGGAACAGATGAACGTTGAAGTCAACAGGATTAACAGTAGGTGGACCATAAATATAAGACGAATAGGGATATCTTGTGCTTAGTCTATGCAAATTCTTATTTATTTAGTGATAGGTGGTAGGTAGCAGTGGAATTCAGGATGTACCTTTCATTTTATTCAGAGTTCGTTACCTAGATTTAATAATAATAATAAAGTAATTTGGAGGATGATGACTGGCAGTGGAATCCACGATGCACATTTCTTCTTGTCTGTGACTCGTCATCCGGTGGATGTATCTGCATTCTTCACTGAGCAGCTGGTGTTTCCCACTGAGGCTCGAACCCCGGTATCCATCGTTTCAAACGTGGATGGATTGCTAGTCACCACCCATCAAAATACTTCAAGTTACACCCTCAGAAACCGTTGAAGAATCCGCACCCGGAGCCGACAGGTCAACACACGGGCCGAACACTTGGGTCAAATCAATCAACGGGAAAGACCGCATTGAATTAAATAATAATAACAAAAACAGCTTTATTCTGAAAATTCCATTCATATGCAATACTGAATTTCCAGAGTCTTTATTGCAAAATGTTGACTCCTCGCACAGAAACTACTCAACAATATATCAACTGAAGCATTATTGTGCCATCCAATAATTCGTATAGATTTCGTTACATTCTTCAATTAGGAAAATTCATACCAGTAGGTTGAAACCTATTTGAAAGTGTACCTGAGTATAAATTGTGATTCTAGACGTAATTGGATGATTTAAACAATACAAAATGTGAAGTAAATACTATGCATTTGTATGAACAGAAAATCTAGGTAACCCAGAGATTTATTTAAGCAGGCCCCCATACCAACCTACATCTTAGTTAGAAGACCGAAACAGTCTTCCGATCTTCAGATCCCCTCAATCTGGCTAGTATGCACTACTGGTTGATTGGAGTTGTGTCCAACTACTCATGTCAGCCAATCAGTAGTATATAGAGTCGTACATATGAATCTCCAGCCTAAAGCTTGAATCTCAGAATGTTATAATTTTTCGATATTAAGTCATGATGAGTGCTGAATTCGAGTCCCACTGGGTGTATATCATTGATCGACAAGCCCCACTTGGATAACCAAACAGATAATATCACAATGAAATGTAATAAATAACAATAAATAAACAGCTTCACTCTGAAGAAAATGTGTACACAGCCTACTGAATTCTGAGTGTCATTTATTGCACAATATTTACTCCTCATCCAGGACCTCGAAGTAAAGTAGCAATCTGTAGTATATCACTTGACGTAATACTTTTAGATCTGAAGTGCAGACTATAATCCCGTTATGATATTTTTTTACCTTCGTCTCTGCAAAATGCATACCAGTAGTTTGAAAGCCATTTGAAAATTATGCGTTGAGTACATTTTGTGACATAATTAAATGCTTAAAACAATAAAAATTAAGTGAAGACAATGGATAGTGATTCAAACAGGCCGCCTCAACCATGATGATGATGTCAAGAATGCCCAGTATACACTAACAGTCACCGATCCATTCACAATTAAATAATATTACATATGAACTGTGATCAAGATTTGACCGGATAGTTGCAAAATAATTGAGCGCTGAGTGAGAAGTAGACATTTATAAAATTATATTAGTAAAATCTCAGCGAAATTGAAATGATTAATTCCAACGTTTCGTTCGGTAATCTGGTTCGAAGCGAACTTCTTCAAGGAAATTAATCGAAATTAACATAATAGAGGTTTATATATAAAAGGAACAACTCTTGTTTTTAAACTTTGTCCAATCATGAGTCATCCTCATTACTGGTGAAGGTTAAGGACAAAATAGAACAAGAAAACCAGCAGAATTGCGTATACCAGGTCAATTGTGGTGATTGTAACGCCGCATATGTAGGAGAAACTTCCAGACAGGTAAATATAAAAGTGAAAGAGCATAAACAATGTCTAAGGGTGGTTCCAAAGACCTCTCCAGACTTGAAGAAGCTAGAAAACAACTCAGCGATTGCACTGCATTCGATAGAAACGGGACACAAAATCGACTTTAATAAGACTAAGGTTTTACAGAAAGGTTTTGTTTCATATGAAGAAAGGCTGACTGCGGAAACCCTACATATATGGGTGAATTGTGTAAGTTTGAACAGACGTGAATGTGTGATCTTAGCTGATGCATGGTAAATTCTGACTAATAAGTAAATTGGATATGTATCAACAACTAGTCACACTTCATCAAATTCTCGATGGTCTGCGTCTTCTTATGGAGAGAATAACAAATTTATAAAATTATATCATATTTATAAAACACATCTCAATTATTTTGTAACTATCCGGTCAAATCTTGATCACAGCTCACATGACAATAACAAATGTTCACCCACACACACATACATACACACCATTGATACTGCATATACACATATATATTTTCACAAAAGTAGACTAATTTTGAAAGTCTGAGGTCAAATTTTGACCACAGTTCATTTTAAAAAATTTCGTTTTGTTTATTATACCTATTGATAGCTATTTCTTGATTCACATGACAGGACATACAATTTAAAACAAGAGATGTACTTTTATATATAAACATACTATTTTATTTATTTATTTATTATACATGTTGATGCCTGTTGCATGACTCATGATTGGACAAAGTTTTTAAAAACAAGTGATGTTCCTTTTATATATAAACCTCTGTTATGTTAATTTCGATTAATTTCCCTGAAGAAGTTCGGTTCGGACCAGATTGCCGAACACGGAAAACGTTGGAATTAATCATTTCAATTTCACTGAGATTTTACAAATATAATTTTAAAAATAATATTAGATTACAAGGAACACTAAATTACTCATTAACAACAATATACACTTTTCACCAATTTATCTATATAATAATATAATGTCTGACTTACTCAGGATATTTCTCTGTATGCAGAATATAAATTGGATTATTGAAATGTGTAGAGTCTGCATCCAATCCAACATTGTTAGTAGTAGAGATATTATTATTATCACCTAAATTTTTCAATGGATTGTTCATCATTATTGTAGAAGATTGACAAGTATTACTATTATTATTATTATTATTATTATTATTATTATTATTATTATTATGGATGTTATTATTACTACTACTACTGGCCATACTGTTCGCTGAACGTTGTAAGTGTATAGGATTATTGATTTCATTATAGTATAATGATGACGATCTCGATAGACCTGGTCCTGTTGGTGACATGATCCTATTATTATTATTATTCTGTGAATTTGTATTAACACTAGATGAAACTGAAAGAAGAAAAGAAGAAAAACTTCAGTAGATAGATAAGACGATGATGATGATCATGGTGTCGAAATTTTCGAAAGTAATTATAATGAATGTGTATGCTGTGTGTTGACGTACAAATTCAGTTTACGCGTGCTATGATTAAATCGTCAGTGATATGATAGAGAAGATTTTGTAGCTCAGGTGGATGATTTTGATGTGGTTGTGTTCTCTGAGCTGGATAATTAATTTGCGAAGCTTTCATCACACTACTAGGTGACATCTTCAGCGCATACTTCAATTCATTGAAGTGAGCTTTTAGATTTCTCCACGAGTTTATTAATCATCTCTCCCGGTGACCTTCAAAGTCGTGATTGGTTGTTTTTGTGTGTTTTCAATTAGACTAGGTGTGAAAACACACAAAAACAACCAATCACATCCAAGGTCACCGGGAGAGATGATTAATAAACTCGTGGAGAAATCTAAAAGCTCACTTGAACAAATTGAAGTATGCGCTGAAGATGTCACCTAGTAGGGTGATGAAAGCTTCGCAAATTAACTATCCAGCTCAGAGAACACAACCACATCAAAAAAAGATTACCAAACGTCTTATATAATATTTGGTTGTTTCTTTACGTTATTTCACAGTATTTGTGTCATAAATATACTACGGAACAACCAACCACTTTTCATGGGATGATGGTAAGATGAGAGACAACTAGAAATTTTGTACAGTGGACTTGTTTGTTGGTTCGAAATTTACAGTAAGCAGAAAACTAACTGAATTACACGACAGAAATGAACAAATGAATAGTTTTTAAGTTCATAATTCAACTAACTAACCACTGCAAAACATGTGTAATGGATTCTGCAGTTATAGGTAATTCCATAGATAGCATCGTCAATGGGTCTAAAACGCCATTGTGAAAAGGTGTGGCTTCGGATCCTGACACAATCTTGGACTTTCTCTGTGCAACCTAATGTTTACTTCAGGATACTCCAATGATGAAGTCAGATCGTCTTTCAGCTTTCTTTTAATCTTTGATACCTGAGCTTACTTTTTTGGTTGGAACCGTATTTTTCAAATTCTCGTGTCTCAGTTAAGTTGTTGTTCTTACAGTAAAACTTCTGAGAGGAATTCCATCCAGTGATTGGGGCTTAAAAAAAGATGTTAATGAAGCTTCCCATTGTCGATGAAAGCACTCCATTGCAGAGCCTCTATAACACGGTATTATATGGCCACTCAGATGGTGTGAGTGACTAAGGAACTCAAAAGTATTGAGCCGAATTGATGGCTGGTGAAATTTCAGCATAGATGCAGAGGGCTCGTTTGGCATATGCCGACATAAGTGATCTCTGGTTTAAACATATCCAACTGCCAACCAAAGGACGTGTGCACTGCTCAGCAGTTCGCCCCATCTTCCTTCATGGCTGTAAGACATGGCCATTGAGAGTGGAAGGCATGAAAAGGCTGGCTAGCTGTCTTTGATCATAGGTGGCTGTGTTCTATCTCCCGCGTGTAGTGTTATAATAAGGTGAGCAATATTGAGGTTGGGCATCGAGTGCTAGGTAAGGAGGGGAAATCAGTCGACGAGACTGTGAAGTAGCTACATCGACTGAGATGGTTAGGACATGTGTTACGAATGAATGCCTAGTCATCGCCTTCCTCGACAATGGGCAATGTTACCTTATATAGGGTCAGGCTGGAAAAGAGCTAGTGGTGGTCAAACGAAAACATGTCACCAGTCAATGAAATCTACAACAGTTCGTCTAAGCCAGCCACGTAGGAAGGTGTAGACTGACTTCCTGACTGGTTGGGGTCCTCGGGACGGTAAAAACCAATGGTCGGAAACAATTGGTGACATGGCTCAAAATCGTTGTCAATGTATAGCGCAGATGCATCCACTCTTTGCGACTTATAATACCCAATGAAACAATGTTGTTCATCGATACTACCATTCTTCATGTCTCATATCTTTGTTTACTGTCTCTATTTTGCATTACTTTTTACTTTCTTCTCTGGCTTTGTGTGCTGAGTGAAGTATGGTGACTCAAACTTCTGCACATTGGTTCCGAGTTCTATGTTAAAACCAGTCCAGTCCAGTCAGGTGCCCATCACAGTCCTTGCGCCAACTGCAGTAGCTTGTAGGGAACAGGATGGCGGGGCAGGTTGTACCGAAACAATCGCGAGTTATGAGGGTTACTCGCACAAAATGGCCGAGCACATATGTTAGTGGTATTTTTGACAGCCTCATCACTGCCTCTGGTTACCTAATGTTGTAAACTAGCAATGAATGGCGGCACACATGGATCGTGGAGAGGCTGAACACTTGAAGGTCACTTATGCACACTGTGATTGGTAGATTTTCCTTTGCGTAAGCATTGCGGCTAATACGTATTGCACTTTACTGAGGCAGGCTTTTAAATAATAATAAAATCAGATAGAAATTGTATTTTCCAGTTGAAAGGAACTAGGTAATATATGTATAAATTTCACAGATGTGATATGCATTGCATCCACTTACAAGAAGAATAATATTGGGTGACTTAATCAAAGAAGTGTAAAGTTTGAAGATTTGATCTCTTTCACTTGGTTATAACGGATGGATAGGAGAGGCAGTTGAATAATATTTGCTTTTTGCAGAAAGGAAACTGTGATAGATAAATGGAAGTTCTGTGATTCGTGGAATCTATCATGGAATATATGGACGACCACAATCTATAGAATTTCACCAATTCCACGATTGTTCCATCCCTTGTTCACATATTCATAATGCCTATGATAAGGAACTGTACATTAGAGGTAAGATAAGCTCACCTGATATGTATACATTCTCAGATATTTCTCAATGAGGTCGACATTGAGTACCATGTCGATCTTTGCATAGAAAGATCATGTCCAGTTTCTCCTGAAGGATCTGGTGGTAATGAAAACTGCAAAGACTGATCCAGTACCACTATCAACTGAGAGAAACTGATCCACATCTTGTGGACAGGATGATTAGTGGACTTTATTATAGCTATGATGCAGCTATAAAGAATCTACAATTGCGATTTTTCCATTGAATTGATATGGACTCTTTTTAATGTGAATATGTACTATTTCATTCTAAATTATTTTTAATTTGGTTGACTATTGTTCTGCTGTAAGTACATGCATCTATGTCGACTGCCTTTGTCTCTTTTACTTATGATTTTGAAGACATTGCATAGTTAACGAGAATGATATCATTCTAAATGCATTCTAAATTCCTTCAGCACCATACGTGTACTAGCCATACTCAGCTTGCATCTGTAGACGATGTTGCGAATGGCATCCAGCGAAGTGTATTCGCTCCGGTCAGGTTTCTCAGTTGCGGACAATTTTTAATCGGAAAATTTTCGTCCACTGACGGTGGAGATGTTATGCTATTACGAGGCACATCAATTGGAACGATAATGTTTTAGGGAGTACACATATTTCTAGCTCCGGTGCTATTTCACGGGATTTCGTATATTATTCTGAGTACATTAGTATGAAACAACAAGCTTACCTTCCAAGTGCTTCTTCCACTCCAGATTGTATTTTCTGAGACGTCGATAGAATGTTGACTTATGTCGTCTTAGGTCAAAATTAGCTTCTGCTGCATCGTAACAGATCACTGATAAATAAACTTGCTAAGTCTCAAATTCTTCCGGCGGTGTGTTTCGATATTAAGGGGTGGTCTGTTGTCAATAAAGTCGCTCAGTGGATTAATCCAGCTGAACGAAGAACCGTTAAAATTCATGTTAGCTGGAAAAAAAATGAATCCCGTAGCCTAAACAACAAATACGCTTGGCATGATCTTTCAAATGCACAGTACTGTAATAATTTTAATATAAAACATAGAAGTAAGCAATGAATGACCTAGAAAAATTTGTAAACAAGGAGTTTAGGCAGACGCGCAGCTTACTCACCGCAGTGGAAATACAAACTGTGAATTCAACTGCTTCTTTTCCAACTTGGATTCCAATCCAGTAAAAGACTTCTCATGGAAAGGCCTATTAGGATGCATTCAGAAATTAAAGAGTATATTTCATTGATTACTTATATTGAAAAGCACATTATATTACATTTTTTATGTGTTACTAATGACTCACTCAGATTCATTGTAACGCAGTTAAGCAAAGTCATCTGTCATTGGTTCAAGAAGTAGATATGGGTTATTCCGATTGGTTGATTTCCAGCCAACGAACGTTCATGTCAGTGCCCCAAACATTCTGCAATGCACCCGAGGTCTGGGATAGGCAACGTCGAAGTCGTAAACCATTATTATTTCCTCAGTGCACGAAATGTTTCAGTTACATTTAATCCGGTTGTGCATAATATTAGTATTCATTAGTGTAAGGAGGAAACAGCCGTTGAAAATGCGTTTGTATTGTAATAACGAAATGTAACCTAGCAAACGTAGCTGTATACCTACACGACCTGTATTGGTAGTCTAGGTACTTCAAACACACTATGAGACGTATGGAAGGGACCTGAAAGAAACAACCTCCTTCACCAACCAACCTGGGAAGCATCGTTTCAACTACAGGCCAGCGGAACTGACGAGGATATCAAAGCAAGAATCGGAAAAGCAAGACAAGCTTTCACTACTCTCAAGTCTGTGTGGAGGTCAACAGCCCTACTCAGCATCAAAACGAAGATAAGATCCGGATTTTCAACTCCAATGTGAAGTCAGTCGGTGCTACTATACGGATCAGATACTTGCACTGAGCGTTATAAAGAGCATCTCAAACAAACTGCAGACCTTCATCAACTGCTGTATTCGCTCAATACCACTCAAGATCAGATGGCCGGCCAGAAAAGATCAGCGACAGAGAGGGATCTCTGGCAATGAGCGAACCAACTCAGCAGGAACGGATTGTGAAACATATAGGCAGGAAGAAATGGAGATGGGTTGGCTGTCCATACTCTGAGGAAACAATGCATCAAGTGACATCACTAGACAAGCCATTGCTCGAGTGGAACCCGACTGAAAGGGAAGCGGCGAGTTGGTCGTCAGTGCGAGGGTGGGTGACTTGGAGGAGGTGATGTGAAGAGGAGATGAAGGTGTGTGGGCAGACTTGGAGCCAGGTGAAGACTCTAGCAGAGAACCGAAAGTAGTGGAGACGCAGGGCTGAAGCCCTATGTTCCTCTAGGAATTAAAGGAAACAATATTAATAATAATGAGACGTATATTCTATTCATCACAAGTAGTCTATTATTCATATGTTGCGTATAACCGCACTGTAATAGAGGAAGTCTGTAGGTAATAAAAAGACGACTACATCACTCTTCT